GACTTAAAATGAAGTAATCTTATTCGAATGGCTGAAAATTTAATAAAAGCAATCGGCTGATATGTCAATTTTTGTACGATTTAATGTTGATTTCTGTTAATTATGCGTATTTGATATAGTATATCAAAAAGTAGAATCATATAATATAATTAACGTAGTCAGATTATTGGGAAAATTATTGAATAAAAAAAAAAGAAAAAACAATTAATACACACACACACATATATAAATATATATATATATATATATATATATATATATACGTGCATACACACGCGGACACATACACGCATACACACGGACACACACGAGTACAATACATGAGAATCAATCGTACGAATAAAAGCACGCGACTACTTCAGTCGACTTTTGCATACGAATATATATACATACATACATACATACATACGTTTAAGTACACACACACGTTACAATACGTTGCTGTGGGAGTAAATAAAAGAAAAGAAAAAAAAAACGAAAAAAGAAAAACAAAAAAAAAGAAATGAAAAAGAAAAGAAGAAATGAAGAAAAAAAGGAAAAGTTAAAAAGAAGGATATATGATTCGTCGTAATAAATATTACAAAAGCGTTATTTTGCACTCACGCACGCACACGTACACACACATACATACACAAGCACGCGCGCACGCGCCGGAGAGAAAGTAAATATATACAAAAGTATTCGCCTTCGTCGTTTCTCACATGATTTACGCATTTTTCGCGTTATTTTGATATAAACAAAATTGAGGGCGGATGAATGGAAGGGACTGGGGTTAAGGTAGGGAGGGAGTGAGGGAGGGAGAATTTGTTGCGATCGATCCGAACACACAATTTTGATCGTAAAGTCAAACGTCCTATAGCGCTTTTCTTCGTTATCCTCTCACAACTCTACCGTACTTATATACACGATATATATGTAAAAAAAAAATAATGAAAGGAAAAAAAAAAAAAAGAAAAAAAAGGTTTACCTTTATATTCATACTGAAAAAAATGTGGTTCCTAGAATATCATAATATTAATTATATAGTAATAAAATATATTACTATGTGAACACACTTTGTTATGTTGGCGATTGACGATCGAAAATTACATACGTACATAAATATTAGTTGAACACGTGTAATCGAACTTCGATCTCTTCGAGAGAATCGCAGGAACAAAAATAAAAATAATATATATATATATATACATATATATCTATATGTATATATATATATATATGTATGTATATATATACATATATTTATGCATTTTATATATGGCTAAAATCTGTCCGCCTGTTATTATCATTAAAAACGTGCACGAAATGTCGCTTATCTCTCATCATTATATATATATATATATATATATATATATATATGAATGTATAAAGGATATTAATAATCCTTGGAATTAACTTGCACAGAAAAAGAGTGGAAAAAGGATAAATTTACGTATATGCAAGAGAGAAGCGATAGTTAAAATATTTTAGATTAAGTCGCATACAGATTTAATTATTATTATTACAGTTTAACTAAATAATTGATAAACATATAGTATGTGTATGTATATATATTTGATTAGTTTACAAGAAATTACAGAATTTCATTGATCGTTTCTGGTTTATATGCAAAAATGAAAATGGCATGTTGCGACGCCTGAAAGTAGGCAGTCAAAAAACAACACGCTCTGCTGCGATTTCAGTCGATGTTGCAGGTTTGCCCCTAGCTATAGGCAACCCTCGTACGCGCGTGTAAGCAAACAAACTCCGAGCCAGTTTGTTAGTTCGAAATCAACGCCGCGTAGGACGATCAAACATAACGAGGTAACTTTGTAAATTTGGAGAAACATTTTTTTTTATGCGACAATACGTTTTAACGAAACTAAACGAATTTAGAAAATGTTTACTTTTTTCTTTTCTTTTCTTTTTTTTTTTCTTTTTTTTTTTTTTCTTTTTTTTTCTTTTTGCCTCTTTCTTCCTTTTTTTTCAGTTGTTTTCCTTTTTATTCTATTTTCTTTTCCTTCTTTATGTAACTCTGTACAAAGCTATTAGAGGAACTTGTTGATTCATCTAATTTCAATTACAAAACATTTTTACGTTGAAGTCAGTTTCGTTGAAATACTCTCGATGCAAAATCAAAATTGAAGAGAATTAATGAAGAAAATAAATAAATAAATAAATAAATAAATAAATAAATAAATAAATAAATAAATAAATAAAAGGAGAGATTTAAGATGCTCGTAAAATTCACTTCTAGTCATTTATAGGATGGATATAAAAGCTAAGAAGTACGTGCAAATGCTTTTCATTGCAACTCCTTCTCTAGTCATATATAATATCTGAAATATTAATTGCTCATTGATATATTTATATATAAATATGCGTATATGTGTGTCGGTGATAATGACTATTGATCGAGGAAAAAAAAGAAAGGAAGAAAGTAAAGAAAATACATACGTACATAAAACTCATATTGATTCTTGATTTTGTGTTCCTTTTTTTTCGCTTCGATTTTTCTAAT